GCTTCCCTCTGATGAGGTTAGTTGAGTTATATCTGCAAAGATTAATGAAATGATAGTTCTTGATGTTAATTGTGTCATATGATCGAGTCAAATTCACCATTTTTTGAGGAGTCGCCTGTGTATTCTTGATGATCTGAATCATACATTGTCTAATCAAGTATACAAATCCGAACGTTTTGAGTTGTCTGAAAATTTCAATGCATGGATAGTGGGATTCAGAATGCAATGTGAGTTGTACATCCATTTATGTTATTTATCTAATTTCTTGGTAAATGTTATGGCTGCTTTGATAAACTGTACTTATATAAACTGAAAATTCAATTCATAAAGTTCAAGTAACCATTTTAGTGTTGTGAACTCATGTTTTAGATAAAGAGCATTAAAAGATAGTCAGGCTAGTGTTTTAGACAGGACCTACTTATGATTGTTCATCCCATTTGCACTACTTATTTTGATATAAACATCAAAAAACTATCCGACATAAAATAATATTTTCTGGAAGCTTCTAAGTACATTCATCCTCTGGTGTTCTATGTTAGAAAACCACTTAATTTTGTAACTATACTAGATGCATCCATAAAAAATCTTCAACATCCTTAACGGTCTAATTGTTGTTTTCTGGATGAGTAGATTAGTTGAATAGCATCGATCATCCATTAGGGCAGTCCAACATGTAGTTTGATAGGTAGTATTTTTTTTAAGTTTGTTTGGGTGCACAAGGAAGTACTTAATGCCTTCATATATATCATGTAGTTTGATGGGTAGTACTTCTTAAGTTTTGTTAGAGTGAACAAGAGCACTACCTTCATATATGTATGTGTATATGTTTGCATGTACATGCACGCGTATGCTTATGTGAATGCATGTGCCTGTGTCCCCATGCTGCTGTGCATGGTTGGGCATGCTCATGTGTGCACGTGTTTGGGTGTGCTTGTGGATGAGCATAGGGCGTGTGATCATGCATACGCACATATGCTATGTAATGTGTATAGGTTGACAACTCATTTTGCTAAATGAGCTTCCAATTAAGAAGTCAGTGCTGAGGCCCCTACTAGTCACATCAGATATATGTATACGTTTGCATATATGTTGATGTATTTTGTATGTATATGTATATATGAAGTAATGTATATGAGGTGCAGCTTATTTTTCTAAGTGAGCTACCAAGAGTTACAATTGTGGTGAAGCACTCCGTACTAGTCACATTGGATGGGTGAGTCTCACCACCTTTTATCTCTTGGTAGCTCATTTAACAAAATGAGCTGTCACACACACATATTTGTTTTTTTGTACATGCACACACTGCTGATGAACTTAAAATTGAATATAATCTTCCCATGGTACAAAATCTTAGAACATTTGTTTAATTTTAAACTTCCTGTTCAATTTCTTTTTGTTTAACTAGCTTTAATTTCTTAGGTTGTTGGAGTTCCTGTTAAAGTAGTACTAGCTTATATATTAGGTAAGTAGTTTCCACATCTCCGACATTGAGATGATTGAGTTATCTACACTAAAAATAGTTCACGGTAGTCATAAGCACGCTCGTCTTGCTAAAAGCAAAGAGAGGCGAGCGGCGCGCGCGGGGGGGGGGGCGCGCAGGCGTTGCGTGCAGTGTGTAGCTGGGGGTGGGCCGGCACGCCGCTTGAAGATTTTATGCTAAAGCTTCTATTTTTAAGCCTCCATTGAATCCTTACCTTCCAAACTGACTCTTAATAAAAAGTTAACTCCTTGCCATTATAGTTGACGTAAAAATCCTTGTCATCACAACGAAGACTGAAATTTAAAAAAGGTTACGCTTATGTTTAATTAGATTAAGCTTGCAACACTATTCAACAATATGGAAGTTAACTGTGTTCCTTATTTATAGTGAAGTGTTGAAAACATGTGTTATTAGCTTTCAATATCTCAACTTCCTTGTGGAAACTACAGAGATTTTGAACAATCTGTATCAGTGTGTCCTTCATCCACCTGTTTTAGTTCCTTGCTTCGTAATGTTTGAAATATTCTCATTCTGTTTTTCACTGGCGTGACTAGGTTCATGCTATGCTGTAGTTTGCGGTACGGGCATGCAA